ATCTGGTTTACTACACACCTGCATTTACTTACCACACCCTGTATGACAGCAACTTTACACAGTGCCCTCTTGCACACTGGGACCCCTAGGGGGCTGTCGGAGAGCCGGTTTTGGCCCGATCCCCGCAGGCCAGGCTGTGGGACCCCACCTGCCAGAGGGACCCTGCTCACTCCACAGATGCTGGGGAGGGTACCAAGGGAGGTTGGCTCCAGGGCATGTCCAACCCATCTTGCCCAGTCCCACCCCGCGGCCATCTTCTAATTAATTTCCTTTCAATGTGCATGAATCCATGCACCAGTTCACTAGTCTATATAATAAAAGTACAATATGCTAATTAGACCAGACGTCCTTCCTTCCAGACAAAGCCGCAGCGGCGGAGCCACGGCAGAAGCGACAGAGCACCCGGCCCCAGTGACGAAAGGCAGGGGCAAGGCCAAGGCCCTTGCACGAATTTAGTGCATCGGGCCTCTAATATTAAATAATTCACCAGAAACAGAACATCAACTATGTTTTGAGCATTGTTAGTCACTGATGAAATAACAGAACAAAACAGATTTGTTTTTTGTTTATGGGATTCTCATAGTTCACTATGGAAAGATTTAGATAACCATGAAAGGGGAATTTTCTATTTTATTATAATAAAAAATTGCCATCCTATTTTTAATTTAAAAAAATAAGGTTTTACTAGACTAACATCAAGGCAAATGCTACTTAAAAATCCCATTTACACTAATAAAAGAGAAACATGCAAATTAACCATCTCTCCGCTACAGCCACAAGACACGCCCACCAGCCAATCAGGAGCAAGTATGCAAATTAACCCAACTAAGCTGGCGGTGGCCATGGAACTGGAGAGAGCAGGAGGCTTGGGCTGCCCCCAGTGATGGTGGAAGCCAAGCTTCCCGCCTGCCCTGGCCAGCCCTGGGCTAGCTCAAGGCTACAAAGTTTCAATTATAGAAGATAAATAAATCCCAAATACCAGTTTCCAGCCGGCCGTGGCCTTCGCTCAAGGAGAGGCTGAAAAAAGGAAAAAAGGAGAGGCTGGGAGCTTCTGTCGCCGGGGGGCGTGGCCAACCTGAAAACGGCCATCAGCCCCTCACCCAGGCTGGCCAGGCACCCCAGTGGGACCCCCAACCTGATCCGGGACACCCTTCAGGGCAAACCAGCCAGCCCCCACCCGTACACCAAGCCTCTATCCTATATAATAAAAGGGTAATATGCAAACTGACCCTAACAGCAGAAAGACTGGGAATGACTGATCACTATGACACAGTGACCACCAGGGGGCAGACGCTCAATGCAGGAGCTGCCCCCTGGTGGTCAGTGCGCTCCCACAGGGGGAGCTCTGCTCAGCCACAAGCCAGGCTGACGGCTGCCAGTACAGCGGTGGTGGCAGGAGCCTCTCCCGCCTCCTAAGCAGCGATAAGGATGTCTGACTGCAGCTTAGGCCTGCTCCCTGCTGGCAAGTGGACATCCCCGAAGGGCTCCCGGGCTGCCAGAGGGATGTCTGACTGCCAGCTTAGGCCCAATCCCCTGGGGAGAGGGCCTACGCCAGTATGTGGACATCCCCCAAGGGGTCCCAGGCTGGGCTGAGGGGACCCCCTCCGCCGAGTGCACAAATTTTTGTGCACCAGGCCTCTAGTTCTACATAATGAAAGCCTAATATGCAAAATGTTCAACCTGGAGTTCGACCACTCGCTATAACGTGTGCTGACCACCAGGGGATGGCGCGGAACATGGCAGGCGTCAGCGACACAGCACTGGCAGTGGGTAGCAGTGGAGGCGCTGCCAGCCCTGATGAGAGCGAGACCATGGCGGGATGATGGAGGAGAGTGGGTGGCACTAGGCCAAGGCGGGTGCGAGCAGGGGCCCAATCACCCCGTCAACTGCCCCAAAGATGGCAACCAGTGGCCGGCAGGCCCTGATAGCCCTATTTGGGTGGGGCCCTGGGCTGGGACAAGGAACTGGGGGTGGGTTGCGGCACCTGAGCTTGGGGCTGCGTCCTCTCACCAGCTACCTGGGGGCGGGGGTGACTGGGATGGTGGTGCAGTGAAAATGCAGGGTGTCCGCCAACCTCACTCTATTCCCCCTGTTACCCTCTCCCGGGATGCCAAGGCTCATGCGCCAGGGAAGCCCCCACGCTCATTTGCCAGGCACCTGCGAGGAGCCCACCCCACAGCTGCTGGGTCCGCAGGGGCCAGTCAGGCTCCATGTGGATTCAAGCAGAACCCAGTCTGCGGGGCCGGCCGGAGAGAGCACACTGCCTGCCAGGCTTCCATGCGGTGCAGCTGGGCAGCCTAGAGGCCCACACTGCGCCCCGGCCCGCGGCATCGGGCCTAGCTCACCACATCTCCGCATGGGGACTCAGGCACTGTGACTCAGGTAGAGGGTGTGTGCAGGGACTCAGGGGCCCAGGTGCTGCCCAGGGCCCAGAAGTCAGCTGGGACCTGCCCTTCTACGCCAGACGCTCGCGCTTAGATTGCTGGCCAGGCCCAGGGACCACACCTGTGCCCGAATTTCGTGCACCAGGCCTCTAGTACTCATAAAAGCCAAATGTTTAAAAATCATAAGGCTTTAGAGACTTCCTCAAATACAAATACTCAGTAATTGCTTCCCCTCTTGGAACTTCTTAAATAATTAAGAGATTCTAATAACAGAGATTTTCTGAAATTGAAAAATAATCCCTAATCCTACCATCCCAATATAGTTTTCTACTGCTCTGGTGCATGGATTCATGTACACTGAAAGGAAATTAATTAGAAGGTGGTCAGCGGGGCCGGACTGGGCAAAAAGGGCCAGACATGCCCTGGAGCCAACTTCCTGTGGTCCCTCCCCAACTGGCTGCACTTGCAGCAGTTCCACGGCTCAAAGTTTATCTGCAGAGTGAGCGTGGTTCCTCCAGCAGGTGGGGTCCCTCGGTCTGGCCTGTGGGGATCAGGCCGAAACCAGCTCTCCCGACATCCCGAGGGGTCTCAGATTGCGAGAGGGTGGTTCTCGGGTGACGCACCCTGGAATTGGGCTCCCTCCTCTCTGGTTCTGGGGTGCATCACCCGAGAACCGCCGCTGCCAAGTCACGGCAGCTCGGCAGCTCCTGTGTTGAGCATCTGCCCCCTGGTGGTCAGTGTGCGTCATAGCTACCAGTCAAAGCATCTGTCCCTTGGTGGTTAGTGTGCATCATAACTACTGGTCGATCACTTAGCCTTTTATATATATAGATTTTATTTTTACACACTCCCTTTTAGTTTTCACCTAAGTAAATTATTGCCTGATTATAGCTATAATTCAGCTATCAAGCTGATTTTTTTTCTTTGCCTTGTATAAGCCATTTTGCCTGGTTTAGACAATGTTCAAAATTATCATTTCAATTGTAGCATAATGCTTATTAGTTCTGGTGTATCTTAGTTATACCTAAATATGAATTGTCATGACAGAAACATAATTTTCTTTTGTAAGTTAATTTTATTACCTTGTTGATTTCCAAAAGAGAACATTACCAATTTTACTTGCAACCCACAATGAACCAGTTTCACTACAATACCCTCAGCACTGTAAGTCAGTGTTTTTTAGTTACACTTCTTGAAAATGTACAAATTAATTTTAAAGTACATTTCTCCATTATGTCTGTTGCTGGGTAGTTTTTAATTAAACTTCAGCCAGGATTCCCAGCAAGAGGCAAGTTTTAGAGAAATACCTGATAAGAGACAATTCCTAAACATCTTTAAATTTTAAAAGATTTTCTAAAGGCCTCTATAATGTATGATTGTTACAGAAGAGTTCAAATAAAACAGATTGTGATAACTTTCCACAGTTGAATTACTAGTTAAGCATTAAGTTGGTACAAGTCATCTTTTCCTATCATCCCATTCCTCAGCCTCCTCCATGCTCTGCTTGATCCTTTAGAGCCAAGTTTAAATGTAATTTCAGTGAAGGACTGCCTAACTTCCCAAGTATGCCACAGTAAACTATCTTTTGAAAACCTTTTCACTTCTTCAGTTATACCATTTCACTTTTTCCCCAAGATTATTGTCTGTCACAGACTTTAAATTACTAGGAGAGCAGGGACTGCTTAAATTCATTTCTCTCCCCTAAACTAGATCAAATATAAACATATATTCTAACGCCTTTTATATTCAAAGTAGATATTCTTTGTTATATCCATAATGTAAGCAAGTAGGTATGTCTGAATGAATCAAAGTAAACAAAGCACTGTGGACTTTGATCTAAGATTAAATCAACATTTACTGAAGCTGTGATTAATCAATCCACATTGTTGGCTGCATATTACACTGACCTAAAAACAATGGCTTAAAATGTGACATCTAGGCCCAGCCGGGTAACTCAGTTGTTTAGAGCAGCAGTTGCCAATCTTTCAGACCTCACAGATCACCAGTGGTCCACAAACTATAGGTTGGCGACCGCTGGTTTAGAGCATTATCCCCATATCCGAATATTGTGGGTTGGATCCCTGGTCAGGGCACATACAAGAATCAACCATTGAATGTATAAATAAATGGAACTAAATTGATGTTTCTCTTTTTCCTTTTCTCTTCCTCTCTCTAAAAATCAATGAATAATTTTTTTTATTTTAAAAAATAAATAATAAAATATGACATCTAACTAATCCCAAATTGGTAATAAGAAATGTGAAATGCTTTGAGTTAAGCACTGCTTTAAAAAATTAAGGGGACCCTAGCCAGTTTGGTTTGTTGGATGGAGCAGTGGCCCCTGGACTAAAGGGCCATGGGTCCAATTCCAGTGAGGGGCACATACCTCGGTTGCAGTCTAATCCAAAATCTCTCGTAGTTCTGTCTTTTGCAAAGAGTCAATAATTAGCATGGAAGACAGAAAATGTTTCTTTACCAAAAGAAAACCCTAACTAAAGAAAGTTTCTAAGACAAACAAATAGTTGCTCAAAGAAAAGGCAGTTTTAACATATATTTTCTTAGTGCACTTAATACTCTTGTTTTTCAAAGAGAAAACTTTTAGAAAAAGGAATGTACCTGAAAATAGCAGGGTTGCAGACATGCTTTGGATCCAATGCTTCTCCCTGTATAAATTCATAGCATAGTCCATTATTGAAGGTACAGTAGAGTTGTGGTGCACAGCCATGAGCCTGTAACACTCGGAAACTCTTCACTTCCTCATCTCGATCGACTAACAACTCAGTCTTGTTGCCATAAATTCGCACCAAAACTACATCCTCCATTGCATTACCCACATAACAGCCAATAAGTTTATTTGTGATTCCATCTGTGAAGACCTGCCCAAAAAGAAAAAAGGGGAAGAAATTATATACACTCAAAAAACTAAATAAGAGATAATGTGAAAATAAATACCAATTAAAAGAAATTATCTACTTTTTAATATAAAAGAACTGTTAAATATAATTTTGCCTAACATGTCTATAATTTTAATTCTGGATTTTAAAAAATAGCAATTATACTGTTTAATCTTGAACTTAGTTTTTATAGCATTGTCTTTAATTTGTGTTAATTATTCAACAACTAGTATTTCTACACTTTTGAGAGCTATTATATCTCAGTCTGCCTTGAACATTGCAAATGAATGTGTGTTTATATTCTACATTCTACATACACACACACACGCGCACATACACAATCTCTCCTCTAATAGAGTGGAAAGTCTCAGAAGACAGAGACACTGCCTCCTCCCTAGCATGGTATCCTATATAATAAAGAGCTAATATGCTAGTTAGACCTGATGGCCAAATGACCTTCCGGACAACCTTCCGGACAAAGCCGGGACTTCGAGGGTCAAGGCAGCTGGGGCCTCTAATATGACATAAAAAAAGGTCTTTAATAATGTTCATGAGTCTACTAAAATTAAAATTTTAAATGCTAATTGTAATGGTTACTTAATATGCATTAGAAAATGTTTTAAGTATTCAGGTTATAATCATTTCTTTTCTTTCTTTTTAATATATCTTTATTGATTTCAGAGGAGGAGGCAGAGGGAGAGGGGGATAGAAACATCAATGATGAGAGAGAATCATTTATTGGCTGCCTCCTGTACACTCCCTACTGAGGATAGGGCCTGCAACCCAGGCACATGCCCTTGACTGGAATCAAACCCGGGACATGTCAGTCCGCAGGCCCACACTCTATCCACTGAGCCAAACCAGCTAGGGCCAGGTTATAATCATTTCAACATGAATGCTACAGCTACAAAAAGAAGCACAACCTTAATTGGAGGAAGACAGGTAATTAGAGATTTCTACAATATTTTCTAAAATGGACTTTTGGCCCTGGCCAGTGTGACTCAATTGATGGGGTGTCATCTGCACACCAAAATGACATCTAACTAATCCCAAATTGGTAGTAAGAAATGTGAAATGCTGTGGGTTTGATTCCTGGTCAGGGACATACCTAGGTTGTGGGTTCAATTCCAGGTTGGGGTGCATATGGGAGGCAACCAATCAATGTTTCTCTCTCACATCAATGCTTCTCTCTCTCCCTTCTACTCTCTCTAAAATCAATAAAAAAAACTTTAAAAAAAGAGAGAGAGTATTATTAAGGGTGAAGCCCTTGAGCCTGAAAGATGGCAGCAGCCACAGAGCTAGCACTGCTAAAGAAGTCCCTGGGCTGAGTAAAGGGAAAAATACAGCACTCAGGGTGAGTGCCAGATTCCAGTTCTTCAAACAAGGGTCCATGTCTAACAGGACTACTATAGTAGCTCATCTAGTCAAGCAGCCCAACAAAGACTACCTGGCTTGGAAGCACTGCAGAAGAAAAAGCAATAGTAGCCCAGGTGGTGTGGCTCAGTGTATGTGCATCGACCTAAGAACCAGGAGGTCACAGTTCAATTCCTAGTCAGGGCACATGCCCAGGTTACATGCTCAATCCCTAGTATGGGGGCGTGGAGGAGGCAGGCCATCAATGATTCTCTCTCATCATTGATGTTTCTATCTCTCTCCCTCTCTCTTCCTCTCTGAAATCAATAAAATATATTTTTTAAAAAAGGAAGAAAAAGTAATAATATTCAACAATGGTTAGAACACAGAGTAACTCAAGAAGATGGAAACTCCAATAAAAATGATATCCACATTCTGTTGAAGGATCTTAATTCATATCTTGAAGTTAAAGTCTACCTTACAGAATATAACTTTACATTAGCAGGTACTCTATTATTCTGTGGATTCCATTGCTTCATAGTTGACTGGACAGTTCAAGAAAAGAAGAAATATCTTAAATGTGCCTTGCTGGTTTTGTCACATTCAGCATCACCCAGGCATCAGGCAACATCTGCCTAGTGTTGTCTTCCAAAACAAACTATATACTAATTCCCATTAGAAGCTATATATGCCATACAGAAGTGATTAAAAATATATTAAACAGAAAGTGTACTCAGGAGCAGAGGACTGATGTAAATTGATATGCAGTCATTATTTGCTAAAGTTGATGGAATTTTTAAAATACAAACTAGTGTCTTAATGTTTTTTGTTCTTTAGTTGAAATTTGTTATATAAAAATTCAACTGCTGTCAACACTTGAGTTAAGATCAAGTTATAAATTACCTTGTTTTTAGAGATGAAACTTATTTTAGTAAAAGTTACGAATCAGTGGTTTGTTTTTAACGTCCGTTTAATGGTTCACCTATTTGGCTATCTATTTAGCACTCTTTCATAGTTTGAAATTCATTTTCCTCTTATTAATATACTAGAGGCCCAGTGCACAAAAATCATGCACGGGGTGGGGTGGGGGTCCCTCAGCCCGGCCTGCACCCTCTCCAATCTGGGACCCCTCGGGGGATGTCTGACTGCCGGTTTAGACATCCCTCTCACAATCCGGACCGCTGGCTCCTAACCGCTAGCCTGCCTGCCTGCCTGATCGCGCCCTAACAACTCTGCCTGCCTGCCTGATCACCCCTAACCCCTCTGCCTGCCGGCCTTATCACCCCTACCTTGCCCTCCTGCCGGCCTTATCGCCCCTAACCGCCTCTGCCTCGGCCCCCAGCCTAAGCCGCAGTCTGGCCTCCCTATGCAGGAGGCAACCTGGTGGATTAGGGGAAGGCTCCGCCCCTATTACCCAGCTGCTGCTGCCACTGCCGGCCTGAGCCTGGGCCCTTCGCAGCGTTGTGGCTTTGTCCAGAAGGATGTCCGGAAGGTCATCTGGAAGACGTCCACTCTAATTAGCATATAACCCTTTTATTAGTATAGATATAGTAGTTTATTTATTAAGTTCTATAATAATTTGTACCAAGGATAGAGAAAGGGAAGACAAACTTGTTTTCAAATATTCATATGAACCAGTAAATGTGATTGAAAAAATTAAATTAAGAATAAAGTCCCAGGGGGGTGGCTCTGTTGATTAGAGTGTGTCCCATGCACCAAAAAGGTTGTGAGTTCAATTCCCGGACAGGACACATACCATACCTAAGTTGCAGGTTCAATCTCTAGTCGGGGCATGTATAGGAGGCAAACGATCAATGTTTCTCCCATTGATGTTTCTAACTCTCTCTCTCTCCCTGTCCCTTCCACTCTGAAATCAATTATCTATATTAAATATTAATAAAACGGTAATATGCTAATTAGACCGGAAGTCCTTCCTGACAAAGCCAGGCCTGGGCGAAACCGCCCACCCGCATCCCAGGCACCAGTAGCTGTGGCTGGGCCCTGGAGAAGAAGCTGCCTGCTCGCGGTCCCGGGCACCAGTGGCTGCAGCCCGGACGAAGCTGCCCTGCCCCCGGTCCCGGGCACCTGTGGCTGCTGCAGCTGCGGCCCAGGCAAAGCCACCCCACCCCCATCCTGGTCCTGGGCGCCTGTGGCTGCTGCTGCAGCCTGGGCAAAGTCACCCTGCCCCAGGTCCTGAGCCGGCCAGAGGGAGGGAAGCCTGGGTCCTGAGGTCCTGTGGCAGGCCGGAGGAGGGAAGCCTGGGTCCTGGGTGCGGCCCAAGGCAGAGGCGGTTAGGGGCGATCAGGCCGGCAGTGGAGCAGTTAGGGACGACCAGGCAGGCAGACAGAGGTGGTTAGGGGCAATCAGGCAGGCAGGCAGAGGAGTTAGGGGCAATCAGACAGGCAGGCAAGCAGTTAGGAGTCAGCGGTCCCAGATTGCGAGAGGCATGTCCCTGTAGGATCGGGCCTAAACTGGCAGTCGGACATCCCCCGAGGGGTTCCAGATTGGAGAGGGTGCAGGCCGGGCTGAGGGCAACCCCCACTGCCGTTCACAAATTTCGTGCACCGGGCCTCTAGTGTGTGTGTGTGTGTGTCTGTATGAATATATACATCTACACTAATAAAAGAGAAACATGGTAATTAGCGTACGACCGCTACCCTTCCCATTGGCTAATCAGCATATCCTTATGCAAATTAACTGTCAGCCAAGATGGCGGCCGGCAGCCAGGCAGCTGGAAGCGAACATGAGGCTTGCTTGCTTCAGTGAAGGAGGACTCCAACGTTCCCCGCCTGCCTTGCCGGCCTCTGAGCTGGCAGTTTGAAACATTGTAACAAATATAGAAGCTAAACAAAACCCCAGAAACCAGCTTTCAGCCGGCCGGGATCTCAGAGCTGGAGATGATACAGTGTTTC